ATGGTTTAAAAACTGGGGTTTTGTCTTTCTCCCCTGCCTCCTCTCAATTGTTTAAAATCAAGGAAGTGCCCTACCATTTTTTCCTACTGGCAAATGAATGCTTTCTTCTGTTTCTGAATCATCATTTTTTCAGCTGCATGTCTGTGCATGAAAAGGACATTAATACCACACATAGCAAATATATTTACATATTCACGATCTAGATATGTTTTAGTTTGTGTAGCTCCTGTCTCCAGACATGTGCTTTGGATTTTGAAATTTGAAAATTTAATTTCAAAATCTTTTAAAGGAATTTTCACATTCCCAGGAGGATTCTAACATTAATTAAATTAATTTCCTCTTTTAATACAACAAAAATACCTTTGAGTCAGTGAAATGCCCATAAACATGGTGTAACAATAACTCCGGAGCAGAACAAGTGTTTGTTTTTGTTTGAAGTACATTATTTTTTAAATGTACTTTTATCCTGACATATTGTGCATTGGACACTAATGAGTTCCTCTGTGGAATGAAGTTACCTACATGTTTAAGTACATAGGTACCTCATGTGTGCATCCGTAAAAGTCAAAAAACCTTTAAAACCACATCTCAATTGAAAGTGACAAAATATAGGTAGACTGTTAACATAGAGCTAAAAGACTCATAATGGAATTAGATAATTTTTTTAATTCAATGATTCAGATGGATTCATTGATGGAATAGCAAATAATTTCTGAAGTCACTAACACTCTAATATATAATTGCAGGATAGTGACTACTTAACCATTACATTTAGCTGTTCTGCTATGCTCCAGAGTTTAATTATCACTCAACCTCAGAAGTGACACTTTCTCCTCTCTCTGTGAAACAGCAAAATCAAATTTCTGTCACAGTTTGTGTTATAATACGTTATCATAAATTCACACAAATCGTCCAGTTTAGGACAAGGGATTATAGTCATAGATACCTACTGATACAAAGCATTTACGATGTGCAACTGCTATTCCAGCCCTGGTGGAAGAGAATGTGCAAATGTGAAAGTTCATCACCATTTCTTGGTCTGGCTGTGATAAAGAAACAGACAGAAAACAGGCTGTTTTTTCCCACTTCTAAACTGCCTTAAAATCTCATAACAATATAGTCACAAAGGCAGAAGAACTTTGCATAAGTGTTCCAAGCAAAGGGTCAATGAGCCAGTGAATAAAAACTGTGTGAATTTAATGAATGAGATCTTGGCTGTGTGCCACCTGCTCATTCTTTTGGATGATCAAGCCTGTGATCATATATATGAACATCAGAAAGGAACTTGCTCTAGATGTTGGTTTTTTTCAATGTGGTACATATCTATGAACAGTGCAGAGGAAGGGCATAGCATCGATTGTAGATCAAAATAAGACATTCTTGCTTTCTTATTTTTTAGTGAATGCTGTTCTTTCAGTAGCTAGTGGCTAGGCAGTTTAAGAGATTGTGTTTCTGCTTCTCAAGAGGAGAGGACACAGTGGAAACAGATGTCTCTTTTGCCAAAGTTTTCTGTCCTAGATGAGAAGGATTGTATTTACAGCTGCTATGGCTGGCAGCCCCTGCAACTCAATATTTATTTGCCTTGTCCAGCTCTGGAGTAGAGTAGTAATTGCTGAGGTAGAATATAGCTTCTAGAGTTTTTCACTTCCCTCTGTACATTAGCAAGTTGAGAGAGAGAGAGAGAGAGAGAGAGAGAGAAATAGAGAAATAAAGAAATAGACAGATACATAGAGTGGCTGTGTTAATATTACTACCTGGAGGAAGACCCTAGAAGATACTACACCAGGCATGTATAACCTATTAATATCAGGACTAATTAACAGTTAAAATCTTTCACTTCTTATTATTGATTGCTGTTGTAGTTTGACACGGAAAGAGAATTTTTTCTGGAAGGAAGAGGTCAATTTAGATATTGACTAATTGAAAGTAGACACGCCTCTGAGAACACAGAGGGGTTGAAAGCAGAATTCCCAGGGGAACTCGCTCTCTTTGGTTCCGGTCAGCGTGCAGTGCAGACCTCCCCTGCCCAGCCACAAGCTGGGTGGGGGAGGGGAAGGCCCCATGGCCTGAAAGGTAGGCCCCAAGGGTGCTGGAAGGACTGGAACCGGGCTGGCCCCTGCAGATGGAAGGGTGGAAGAAATCTGGGATGTCTCAATTTCGTCTCTCCCTCCCCCCTCCCGGTTTCTCTCCCGAGGGGGAGAGAGAAAGAGGCGGTGGCGATCCTGTCCTGCCAGCAATTCCACCGCGAGGAAGGAGGAGCGGGGGGAGCTGCTGCAAGGTGCCCAGTTGTGTGGGAGTTGCTGAATGTCTGGGCATCGAGCCATCCTGGGAGTTCGGACTTTTAACCCTTCCTTGAGAAATGAAAGCTTTGTGAATTTTCCTTTCCCCTCCTCGGTTTGAAAGAGAGGAAGAGGGACACCTTGGACCCTGGGATGTTAGAAGGAGGAATTCTGGATGGGAGGGGGACAAGGAGTGGCTTTTGGCTGGACTTTTCCGTGTTAGCCACAACCTGAACCAAATCTTCTCCTTCAAGAGGGACTGTGTTTTGGGAGGATGCCAGTGAGTCAAGAGACCTGCTTCAGCTGGGAAAAAGACAAAAGTGGAGTGAACAGAGAAAAGGTTAGGGGGTTTGTGGTGGCGCCCCCTTGCCCTGGAAAAGAAAGAGAAGAAAAGAAAATCTCTGTTCTTGAGCCCTCGGCCCCAGGGGAAAATGGGGGGGACTGTGGTCCCAAACAATGAAAAACTGAACTGTTGTTTTCTCCCCTCTTGGCAGGGCATCCTTAAAAGGAAAAATCCTAAAGGCAGTCTGACCATCCATGCATTGTGGTGAGAGCACTGTACATAGAAAGAAGGGTCACCATGGCAAACTTTTTCTCCAGGCGGTGCCATGTGTAACATGGAAACACAAGATGTAGAGCTGTGTTTCTTAGGGGGTCTGTGGCACAGGAGAGACTCTGTTCCCTCAATAGACTGAGTATCAGTTGTTTGAAGGGTAAAAACCTGATTGGGGTCCAGATTGTGTCTCACTGTGGTTTGTTAGAGTTGAGTGGTAGGGGGAAGAATGTTTTACAAAGTTTTCATTTAATCTTTGTGTAGTTTTTTTTCCCCCTTCTTTAGTTTTCTCTTTTCTTTTGTAGTAATAATTTAATAAACTTTTTTCCTGTTATTAGGCTTAGGCCTGCTTTTCTCTATTCTAAATTCCACTTCACAGCATTCAAGATAAAGATCACATTTTCATGGGGGCACTGGCATTGTGCCAGTGTCAAACCATGACAATTGCCATCCTTTTTTGCTCTTTCTGAGAGACCCAAAACATACTTCCATAGACAGGTTATAGAGCAGAGATGGCATTTCTGTATCTATGAGTTTACTTCAAATACTGACACTTTTTTAAAATGCAAGTGCAATGGATTTTTTTTAGAAGATATCCTGTGAAAGTCACTGGTGTTAAGACTTCTTTGTTTTTAAGGTGCATTTTACTCTTCAACTTATTTTGCAATTCTGTGATACAATATTTGCTTTACTAGTTATGTCAAAAAAGTAAGCAAATGTGTTATTTTCTAGGAATAATACAAATCAGATATAAGAACTGTTATCAGAGAAAGATGATGATAATTTCCAAATTTCTAGTAATAGTTAATACACTGATGTTAAGGATTATGATGATTATCTTCTGTACGCTTCCATGATTAGGTCACAAACATTGTGGCAATGATCAGAAGCAGATCAAGTCAGTCTGTTAAGTAGTACATTCAAAATGCTAGATGTTCATATTCAGAAGTATGCAATACAATCTGAGGGCAAGACATCAGAAGGACATGTTCCCTTTATTTGAAGCAGACTGTTCCAGTGATGTTTGAGGAAGGAAGGAAAATGATTTTTGCAAGTTCACCTAGAATGTTTCTCAGGTCATGAAGCACCCCCCTAGCCATTCCTTTCCTCTACCTCTGCTTGCTGAACATGTCAGTCAGGCATCTTGAATGCCTACACTGATGATTTGAAAGGATTTCTTGATTTGCACCATGTGTTGTGTACAGTACTGCCTGAATAGAGATGTTACTGTGGCAGATAACATGAGCAGCAATGATCACACCACTCTCTCTCAGTCTCCTGTCTTTTTGCAGTCACCTAAATGGACAAATTCTGACACTTTTAAAGCTCACTTTCGAATCAGTTCACTATCACTGCAAAGGATCCCTGAAGGATCCCTGAGAGAAATGATGGCCAGTGAATTCAAACCTGCAGATGACTTTGGCTACAGTTTCTTCCTTGTAAATTGTCCCTCTTTCTTCATTTATTCTGATCATACATCTGTGACAGTGGAGAACAAACTAATAAACAGGCTTGTGAATGCTAGGAGTACATAAGGATTGACATTTTAAAGGTAAACATTGAGCCTTTCATCCAGGAAATGCAACAGCTACTGTATAGATACTGCTACAACTTCTGACAAATAGTGATGAGTGATATGTAATGTCATTCAAGATGAGAGGCAAAAACTTATTTAAAAGCATTGAATGTGAACCATGAGAGTGGACCCAGCTGCCTTCAAACTCTTGCTCTAGAAAAATTATCTACTTAAGTGCCAGGGATGGCATTAAATAGCCTTCAAATTTTCAGGAAAATGAATTAATTTGTGATCAGGTCCTTATGAGGCAGGGTTTAAATGGAGAATTTCTTCTGAAACAATTGCTCAAGCAATTCTTTGCCAGCCAAGGTTAGTTGCCAAACATTATACTTTTGCCAAAGCCCTGAATTCCTCCAATCTCCTCTTGAACAGATCCTGCAAAAACACCATGCAGATGGAACAGCTCATCTGTCAGGTGAAGTTAGGTCACATTTGTGTCTGCACAGATCACATTTGTAATTGTATATGTCCAGGATCGCCACTAGACAGTGTTGAGCTTCACAGTGGTGAAAGGCAGGTTCCAGGGGACCATATCCACATGCAGTGTAACTTTTACTGATAGTCTTATTAACTTTCTTTTTCAGCTAGGCATCCAGCTTGTGAGAGGCCAGAACAGACGCTGAATTACCTTTCTATTGCTACCAGAAGCAGTTAAGTTGCATGGAGATTTTGGTTTAAATCTGCATCCAAATTTTCAAAAATATAAAGCTTACATAATTTCCTTGACAAGAATCACACTGAAAGAAGGTAAGAATAACTCAATTCCTTGGTACTTCCATTTCATCCAAATCCCTCAGTGCAGAGGCAAAGAAAGTTGAAATAATATGGAAAGTAAAATTAAATATAGAAAGTGAATTTAAGTTAAATATAGAAAGTGATTTTAACTAACACAAGATAGAAATATTGCATGTTAGTTCAATTGTATATTTCAAAACAGTTTTCAGGTATTTTTCATTTTATACAACATCTTTTTGCCCAGTCCCAGTGAGTGTATAATCTTCACTCTTCCTTCTGCTTTGTATGAGGTAGATACAACTATGAAAAACAAGACAAAATAAATTATGAGTACTTGAAGCTGTAAATCTCAGGGTTTTGTGAAGCATCTGGGAGGTTGCTTAATCTTTTGAATCCAATAATGCTTTTTTGTCCTTTATGGATGTTTGCATTCTTTGGATTCTTTTATTCTCCATTAAACTTCATTCTATTCTGTATGCCCGTGTTAGCCTGTGCCATTTTTATCAAAGTGTGAACCAAAGATCTGGAAAGATCTAGGTATTACCAAGATGAACATAAATTAATAATTTAAAGAAGAATAGTTGAACACATAATTTACTCTGTTCAGAGAGTGTTTTGTTAACCTTTGACACCAAAGTTTAACATGGAGAATATAATGACACTTTCCAAAAGGAGAACTCTCCGCTTGTAAATGTCTTTGGTTTTAATATAGATGGATATAGGTACACTAGCACTTAAATAGTAAATAGTATTTTAAGTCATTAACTACAGTATATTTAAGTTAGAAGTTTCTTTTTTATGTTGATATTAGCTATTGCATAATAATTTCCATGCTTCTGAGGCTGCTTCCTAAATGTTTGTGTTAAGAACAATAAGCTTCTCTGACTCACAAACATTAAATGCTTATACTGTTCTTTTATAGGAATTCTTCATTTTATTATTTTTTCTATTACTGTGAATCTTTTATAAATGAACAGCAGTGCCAAAAGTTTGTAGGAAGAAACAGATTTTGCATACATATCTGTTTTTTTTTTCCTTATAAAAGCTTACTACTACTACTACTACTACTACTACTACTACTACTGATTTTATGAATTAAAAGGAAATATTGTTATTTATTCAGAACATTAAAATTATTTTCCCTCAGGGAACCCATGACTGGCATTTACATGAGTGCTTTTATATTTTGATTTATTAATAGAGAATAAAAAAGGCATAAGCAACTGAAAAAAGAAGGCTATTTTCTAGAGGATACAATATTTTCGTGTATTCTGTTTTCCTGCTTTTATTTTTTTTTTTTGTTTATTTTCTTGGTTTTCTTTTGCTTTCTCTATTTATTGCTGCTGTTTTTTTACTTTAATACACCACAGAGCCAAGCTTAGAGAGCAACTGGTATGACCAAGGATTTTCAGCCTTATATTGTGGCTCTTCCCTACATCCACTCTTGACTCTGATCAGTGCACCAAATGTTTTGTTGTAGAACAGCCACAATGGGTTGAACTGTGTGCAGCCATGGGGATCTCTAGAAGGCAAAATTAATTCTACAGGAGTCACCCTCTCCATCCCATTCTCTCTGCCTTTTAGTTGCATCAGACTGATTCACTATAAGACTAATTTAAAAATACATTTGATAAAAAACCCACATTTTTGCAACATTTCCTGTTAGACATCCAATGAATCCATATAATATAAATTTTGTAACACATTTCAGTATATAGTGTAGGCCTTTTAAATGGACTGTTCTTCAGAGGTTCCATTTTAGAAGAAGATATTTATGAGCAAATATAAACAGTGGAACATATGCTTTTCCTTTTATATCCAGTAAATTATTAAAATTCACAACTAAATTATCAGACCTAAAAGATTAACCTTTTTTTTTAAGCAAAGTTATACAATCTTTTAAATATCCTTCATATGTTATAATTGTCCATGCATGAAAAAGTAGTTACAAGTATGAGTGCTTTGCAGAATAAGAGGCTTGAGATTGGTCCTGTGCTACAGCAGTCATCAGTTTTGTGTTTCAGCCAATAAATTAAACAGAACCTCAAAATACCAGTCAGTCAACCCAAGCATTAAGTACTCTTAACTCAAGACTGGCAACTGATGAACAACAGTATTTTATTTTGTACTATACAGAATGATACGTGTGAAAAAATGTGCTCTGAATGCATGGTTTCTTTTACATGGGTATCAACAACAACAGAAAAACCCCAAACAAACCAAACAAAAAAAAACCCAAACAAACAAAAAAACTAGAATAGCAATCTGGAGAAACAAATTAGTAAATCACCAATGATGTTGTTTTGAACAAGTATGAAAAGGTTCCATCAAAGTCAGATGAAGAGTACTAATTCACAGGAAAGTGGCTATTTTATTTCACAGATCTGAGATTTCCTTATTTAGTAAGATAGAAGGTTTTGCCAGTTAAAGCCTGCAGAAATGGGATAAAACTGAGGTAGACTGCATTTTTAGATAGATAGCTGTTATGGGTATGGGCAAACAGTGCTGATAAGGAGCAAAGAGGATCAGGGCTAGAAATCACCCAGATTGTCTGATACCATGAAAATGGGAATTATATAAATATAGAGAAAAGCCTTATTTGAGAAGGACCATCAATAGAAAGGCAACCTCATCACTTAATGGATGTGTTTTTATACAAAGATAGAGTTCCATTATCAGCTGAAAAGAAATTTAAACAAATCAGAAATTGCCCAACATTTCACAGAGGTTACTGTCCACATGAGCGCAGACTTTTTAAAGCTGCCTGTAAATAATGCAGGAATTGAAATACTACCCTTGTAGTGAGAAAAAATTATTGGAAAAGGTAATTAAATTAAAAAATAATGCAGATTTCATATTCAAAGAAAAGACAGCCCTACAGGAGATAGCAAAACTAATGTGTCCTTCATAGTCACATCAACTTCTAGTGATTAAATAATATTATTTTGATTTTTTTTTTCCAAATCAGGATGTATTAATTTCCAGAGAATCATAAGAAGAACACAAGATAACATTCCTGTGTTCTCAGAAAGTTTCCTTAATGACAACTTCACTATACAGTCACATAAATCCTTTATTTTCTTTTTCATGCATAATCTTTATGAATACAGTAGAGACAAATAGCTTTGGAGAAAAATTATTTGTCTTTTCTACACAAGAGAAATGGTTGGCTCTTTTAGAGCTTGAGTACTGCTCCACTCTGACTTGGAGTGATTGGTCCGTGGGTCAGCTATTCAGCCTTTTCAGCTAAGACTGAACCAAAAGATTTTCAGCTGAGGTCTGATGGTCAGCTGAGATGGTGCTTCTCACCCTTGCCTCAAAGGAAACTTTGGCTCAAGCTACCAACTCATTTTAGAGAACAAACTCATCCTCAGATGGATGTGCTTCTTGGTCCACTGATGACTTTGACTTGAATCACATCAGTGACCCAGAATGAAAGGCTCCACAAACTCAGTAATTCACCAGGTCTTTCAGGACTTCAAGGGAGAGTGCAGGGGTAGAAGGATTCTCAAAATATTTACAAAGGACTCATCAGGGTGTATTAAGTATTATTCTCTCATACACCTGTAAAGTACACTACTTCAGATTTGGTAAGTGTGATCTGTAGGTACAAAAGAGTAGAATGCTGTTATAAATATGAGTATTACAAATAAATATAGATTGCAGAAAAATATTTTCTTAATTCTATATTTCATGAAGCAAAGTATTTTTTAATAAAAGAAGTCATCCAGTTGAAGGATTTTAAATATTTAAATTCTAAACTTTTCATGTAAATAATAGATGAATTTTCCAAACATAGCTGCATAATTAGCTCACAATAATGTGTGGACTTCTTCCATTTTATCACTGATATTTGCCATTCATATACATACCTCATTGTGTTTGTGTGTGTGTGTACATTCACACATATAGATTTAACTGATGTACCACTAGAAATATAATTATCTGGGAGTTTACCTCCCTTGGGAATAATAACGCTTATTATCACTCAGTTATACTTAGAGTATGTTTTTACCATTACGATGAACTCTTAGATGATCACTCTTTGTATCTCTTTTAAAGAAATCACTTTTGTTTGTTTCTTACTTTTCTAGATTATCTGTCATTCTTAGCATTTGTCTAAAATGTCAGCAAGTGGATTTTTTTACGTTATTATTTCTAAATCCAGAATTTCCTATTCTATTCAAAAAGCTTTTTTCAATTTATTTAGGTAGCAAAGACTAATTGTGAAATTTAGACTTTGAAGTCTGTTACTATTTTTAATTCCTGCATTGGTTTTGGAAGGTAGAGGGTGGGAAGGTTAGGATTTTTATATTGTTTTTAATTTATGGCACTGAACTGATTTATGTGGAAGTGGTGTTTTTTACCAATTAGTGTCTTTCTTAAATTTGTAGATTTTTTTTCCCTCTATTGAAATTGAATTTCTCAAATTTTGGATTAAAAACCTTTGGACTGGACTGCTAAGATAATTGCTATATTAAACAAACTTGCCAGGCACTATGAAAATACAGATATATTTCATTTTTAGAGCAAGCAAATTAGTAAATGAATCCAAAAGATATATAGATAATTATGTTTTCCACTGGCCAAGTCTAAAATCTTTAGTTTCCAAAATTTCAACATAATCTTCAGCCTTTAAAACATGCAGTTCTTGTTTTATGTCTAAGGTAACAAAGAAAAAAAATCACTCAGTATTTATACAAGTTAAAGTCAACTACTGACCTCTCTACCAATTCTATAGACTACTATTAACCTTGTCTGCAGGAGAGTGGTGATTTTAAGAATTATGACTGTTTTTTTTGAATGCTCCAGCAGTCTCAGATCATTTACTCCCCAGTGTATCACAGGACTCAGACTTTTCCAGATGGGAAAATGATAAGACGAGGAAGATGGCAGGTCAGTCTTGAGGCAGCTTCAAGAAAATTGCTGCAAAATGAATCATGCAGGTCTGCAATGCTTTACCCAGCATTTTTCTGTTGAAATTCATTAAACCAAAGGTTGCTGACAAACTGAATGAAATTATTGTGCAGTATGCTCTAAGAAGCCAGAAAGGCTTTGTCCATCATCTCAGCTATAAATAAACTAGAGGATCCTGGAAATATTCTGCATGCTTGTGTTATCCATAACATTTTATACAGATTTGTCGCGTGCTTAAATCTCACCATCAGTTTCAGCTGTAAAACAAATAAAAAATCTGGTCCTTGAAATTTTTCAACAGTTTATTTCATGCTTATTGTCAATTATATCAAACTGTTACTAGTGATATTTCTTCACCTGGCTATGCAGACCTGTATTTACTTGTCTATATAATCAACTAATTAGTTTTGCACAGATGATATAATGAGGGAGCATACACTCAAATGAACACAGCATTGCTGTTAGGAAATTTCATATCTTAGTCCAAATCTCTGAACAAATGGAAGAAGAAAGACAGCTAACACCAGAAATCTTTCCTAAGTACTGGCAGCCCAAGCTGTTCTCTGAGCAGGTAAAATGTGTTTGGGAATCATGAGGTTAAACAACACACATTTCAAACTGCTCTTTCTTGTTTGCATATTGCAGGGTTTAGTGTTCCAACTTTTGTGTCTCTGATAGCTAGAAGATTAATATTTACTGCAATGAATTTCATGTTTATTTTAATGAATGTCATGTTTATTGTAATACTGTTTCATGGCTCCTGGTTCTGTAATTACAAGAAGCATGCTAACACTGTATGAGTCAGAACCGAACCACTGGAGAAGAGCAGTAACACCCCGGTCTGAACATTTTCCTTAAGGTTGGAGGAACAGATACATTTCACCTGCTTTTCCTGCCTTCTCACCATGTTGCTCGTTGTCTTTGTAGGAACCAAGAAAACCTCTGGACCAGAGGGAGAGGTGCAGAGTACCACCCTTGCTATATAGGTTATGCTGATCCTAGTGCTCATGGAAGGGCAGGGGTGTCATTACAATGGCTTTGGGGAGGTCTGCATTGTAGACTACAAAGGCTAGTGAGACAACCTCATGCTTCATTTCATCTAATATGAATAAACTGGGCTTGAGCAACAGGGGCATAAGCTAGACTGCTTTTGTAACATGAGGATTCACACTGCTCCTGCTTAAACAAGGCAAGATATAATAAGTTCCTTCAAGCCTAATTCAGCAGATTCATAGTAGAGAGAAACTGATGGGGATCCAGCCATTAATAAATTTAACATTATTTTTGATTAGTGTGATTTTCTTCAAAAAAGAGAACTATTAAGTAGTTTATGTGCTTTTATTCAATGTTTTATGTAAATTATTTGACAAATTGTAATACATCTATTTCCTATGAGAAAAATGGCTGGAATTTCAGTGGCATGGGCAAGACAATTATAGAAAAACTCCACTCCTGAGAACTTGTTCTATATGTTTTATCACACCCTAGGTACTAATATATGACAAAATCCTTCTGCTCTTAATGCTGTCACATTTGTGTGAGATGAAGGTTGTTGTCTCACCCACACATCTTTAGGATGACACTTTAATTGGAAAGTGGTATTGTTGGGAACATTTATGAATAATTTAGTATGTCCTCCCCACTCATCTTTTTATATGTTCAAGTCATTATTTTATTTATTATTTATTAAGTCCTGACACTATGCTGATAGCTATACAGAATAGAGGAGAAGACAAAGAACCTGCCCTTATGCATCTTATGCAGCAAGAAACATAGAAAGCTGTTTTCCATCCTACTCATAAGATAGTAAACACATTCTGGCTGTGGTCCAGAATTCTTCCTCTCTTGGAGCTTTCCTTCGCTGACAAATACAACAATAAAATTAATAGTAAATATATCTCAATATGAGTGTACTGTTAAGCTTGTCTGGCTTTAATGTTCTTATCCTCTGAGATCTTAGTTTCCTGCTCAAGTTTTCTTTTTCTAGCAGAAATACACAAATGTTCTTGTTGTACTGAAGTTAACAGGATTTAACCTGTATTGGTATCAGAGCATGTCGACAGAGACAATTCTATCTTCCTTTACAGGGAGCTTAAACTTGTTAACCTTTTACAAAACAACAGTATTGTTTGCTTACTTTTCTTTCTCTCTTTTTCTTTCAATGTTCTTACACACTTGCAAATCAATTTGCTTATGACATATTGGGTCAAAAGGATTTGGCTGCAGACCCATGTGTTCTATTCAGGTCTGTAAGGCAAGCATACAGAGAAACTACATTGATTCATTGGCTGTGCTGGCCATACAATTCCTTCCTGATGCAGAACTTACTTGTTGATATTTATTATATTACTTATCCTATTATATCTCTTATGGTATTAATTTGTTGGACATGAAACATATAAACAACTTTTGTTGTCAAAACATGAAAAAACCCTGATTAGAATAATGTGTTTAGGATTAAGTTATTGTCTGCAATCTGAGGAGTTTAATTCTTTTATAATTTTCAACTGAAAGACTATTTTACCTTCTAGTATATCTGCTTTTATACCTACATGATTTTTAGCAGTTCATATTCAGGAAACTTCCAATCATTCACACATTCATGAACACATATTTAAGTATATATTGGTTTAACAGGTGCACTTCCCTAAAACATATTTCTTTTTAGAGAAGCTGTTGCCCAAGGAAAAATATTCCACTACAGACAGCTGCATTCATGTGTTATGTCTCAATGCATTGTTTCTGTCCAAGGGGGCCTTTCCCTTCTGGAAATCACCCTCTTCTAGGATATCACAGTGTTTTCTACGCTGATTATGATGTAGTGTATATGGAGTTTGTGGAGGACTGAATGATATTTTACACTGAATCACCAAACCATCTAGATAAGACTTAGTTTAGAGGAAGAAGTGTACTTGAGGAGGCAGAGCAATGAGTAGAAAACTATTGGATAATTTCTTTTTTTAAATTTTCTTTTCTGAATAGAAAAAAAATAAAACCCTATTTTAACCCTTTTCACACCAAATATTAATAGCACAATTTTTAACCTTGTGATCTCAGCCTGTATCAGGAGAGGTTCAGGTTAATCATCAGGGAGAATTTTGTCACTGAAAAGTTTGGCAAACTTTGGAAAAGGCTGCCCAGGAGAGTGGTGAAATTGCAACCACTGGAATAGTTCTAGAAGAGCTGGACAGCACTCAGTACTATGGTTTAGTTAATGTAGGGTGTTTGGTCAGATGTTGGACCTCTGGAGTCCAAAAAACTTTTACAGGTTTTTCCAGCCCTTATGATTTTATGACGTAAGGACAAGCTAAGTTGAACATGTAATTTTCACAGAAAAAAGTCCTATTTTATCCAACAGGAACAAACCAGTGATGAAAAATAAGAGGCAACATTTTGGAAAGGGGAAAGATTACAGAGCCCAGAGCAGTAGGCTGTCTTAGTACAATGTGAACAAGATTAATGTGCATGAAGCCTAATTATGTGAGAGTGAAAGGTCATCAAAATCAATTTGCAGCATGATGTACGAAGGTCATTATCAGACTGAAATTTTCTATACCTATTGAAAATGCAATAAAATATGAAGTGGATGCCTCCATAACTATGATTAGTAAAGAAAAAAGCCATTGAACCATCTACTTAAAGTTTTGTGCTGCCTTAGTTTTATTCAAGTTCAAAATATTGCAAGTAATAAGAGTTGGGTTTCTGGAAGACAATATGGCTAAAAGAATCCATTAATTTTCAGGATCTATAATGCTGAAAGAATTGAAAGCACCTTTCTAAAATTACAGTCCTCTGAATCAATAATGTAATATTTGTAATTTGTCTTTTTTTATTATTTTATCATTATTATCATTTTTATTTTCAGTTTATGGAATTAAATATACTAGAATCCATCTTTTGCTTATCTGTGGTTAAATTGCTTACTCAGGGGTGCAGATTTTCTATTTTGCTTTGTCTGTTTTGTTACAACATTTCAGTGGCAAAATGACCATTGTGCAAGCAAACATTGATCTGTACAGCCAGCAGAGAAAATATTACAATACCAACATTTAAGCCTAAAATACGTACTCAGAAATATATTTATGCATATCCTGAAGGTTAATATAGTCTATCCAATAACAGTAAAACAAGCTGATTTGTCAGAATAAGATATCTACCAAATGGTTTTCTTTTTGAAGTTTTTTGTCAGTTAAGCCATGAGAGCTAAACAGTCTATACAGGGAGCTGTCATTCAACAGGAACAAGATGTTAGTTTGAGCATGATCAGTCAGAAGCTGAATTAAATTCTGAAAACTGTGCATTAATTCCCTTTTGTGTTTTCTTCCCTCTTTTTCTGGCACAGGACTCCTTCTGTATTCTCCTATGAATAAAAAGACACTTGAAGTAGACGAAGGACCCTGGGGTGGAGAGTGGCTGCTGATTAGATACACTAATTAGATACACTTACACAAAGAAAATTTTCTTCAGCTTTCCCGCTTTGCATTGTGTTTTCCACTAGAAGTTTGCATCAAAGAGAAGAAAATTAATTTCCTGCACACAGAGGTACTAAACTTGCAAGTGTTGCACTTAGCCCGGACCTTCTTCATGCAGGCTGCACAGCAGCTGCTTGCAGGGCCCACTGCAAGATCAAGGTCACAAGGTGACCTCCTCTCTTCAGGAGCTTTGTAGATAGCATCTCTGATGTACAGAAGGCTATGTATTCTGTATCACCTAGGAATGGGGTAAAAATAGCTGCTGAGGAGTCTTCCCCACATAATATGCAGCCTCTGAAAGCATATGTTTATTCAATATTAATAACTTAATAACTGTTGTCAGCATGCTTCAAACCATAAACAAAATAAGTTCTTACTGCTTGTATTTTCTTCCTTCTTTATTCCTGTGGTGTTTCACTAAATGGTGCACTTTTTCAACACTCAGATCAAACTTTTAACACCCTAATGAAAAATGCTGCTGTAATTTAATTAACATTTTTCTTGTTTTTCTTAAAATTAGAAGGATTAAATTGCACCTTATGTTCTTTCAAAGACATATTTAAAATGAGGTGGCCACCACACGATGGTTCCCCTTGTGGCAGTTGGGGAAATATTCTAGACAAGAAAATGAGATTCAGCATTGCTAACAGGAAGATAAAAATACACAGTATTTGTTTTACAACCTGCTAATAATGAAGCAGACTGAAGGAATGATTGGTTGAATGCACTTAGAATAATAATAATAAAGGGCAGGGCAGATGCCGAAAGATATTTTCACATCTCTTCTTCTAACTGATGTTTGTTTCTCATGTCCTTTGTCTACATTTCCTGAATTAGTGTAGCATTCTTTGAGGGTAAATCAACCTAATTTTCCTGTCCTGACAGCTGCATCCTTGATGGTACTCAAGAAATAGTTCCAAACTTGAAACTTGGCACCAATGAAGAGGCTGCACTGGACTCAACTTGTTCTAGATATCAGGCAGAGGTTGACTGCTCTGCCTCTAAGCCCAGAGCCATCTGCAGTGGGTTGCAGCTCTGGGTCACATCAAATCTGCAGGCCCTGTGCCATACCTAACATTAAGCTGTTGAGACCCTGATGCCTTTTCATGAAAAGCCCTGCATTTTACACCAAAACTCATATGCCTGTAGGTGGCCTGAAGTACTAGGTAGCTGGTTTACCTTAAGGGTCTGTTTTGAGCAGGCAGTGGCAAAACCATTGTGAAGGATTGACTTAGGATTTCAGTGACAGCCAGCCAGATGGGAGAAAATAGCTGGCTTACAGAAATCAATGGGAGCAAATGGAACAGGATCTTACCCCTGCTGATGCCTTGAAAAGTAAGTCTTCATGTTGATGAAATAATATTAGAAAACAACTTTAAGGATTATTTCACTTCAGTTATTAACAAAACAATATTGTAACACATAAGCCTTGGGTGCCTCAGTTACATGTGCAGAAGTAAACAGTGTCCTAATTTGGCCTAACTCCACCACTGGGTTAAGTCTCCTCCCTGCAGCTAACCACTACCGTAGCTCCTGGTACACTCATCTGGGTCCTGGTGATTGATCAGTGCCCACCTCTGGTAGGGACACATTTTGCAAGGGACCTTGGGAAAAGCTGACCTGTAAGTTGGCTGACTAGAGCTTTTCCTGCCAAGGCAGTATACACAGATGTCATTTGAGTGCAAACTGATTACATACTTGCCTGAAGGACAATTCCCCATGTGAGAATTTCCACATGGACAGTGCGCTTGGGCTGCACTTGATCTCAAAGTACAGCTCCAGAAAGCACTCTGGAGAGTGGAAGGATGGGGAGTGGGGAAAGGAGTATGTACAATTCTGTTTTTTTCCCCTCCTCCTGTGTCTTGACATCTATTGAAGACTTTGGTTCCAGGGAAATAATGTTCTACATTCAAGCATTATATTATGTGTTTTATTAATAAAACATGAATTTTGTTAGCCCAGAAGAAACATACTGTTTAGGAGAATTTAGTTTTTTTTCTTACCCACCTCAAGTCAATGGTGTTTTCTCCAGGATTTACAGTCTTGATAGCAGTCAACTTGAAGAGAATTAGTCCTTACTCACATTTCCCAACCATATTTCTCCTCATGCTCTAATCATGCAAATGTTCTCTAAGTAAATAAATATTGTTTCAGGCAAAATTATGATCTCAAGAGGATGTACTTAACATTTAAAGTAGAGTTGAAAAGTGATCCCAGGTATTTTATACAGTCAAAATGAAATCAGGAAGATCTCCATGACAGCAGGTCTGCAGAAAACCACAAGATCAACAGAATAATTTGATGGACAGCTGTAGCCTTCAATGTTACATACAACTGAAGGCTTTAAATTACATTAATGAGACTACTCGAGTGTGGAATTCACTATACAGGAATTAATTCACTGTAGATTCTGATTGTTTTTACCAGTATCTGCCTCTCTTTAAGGCAAAATCATTACTTTGCTAAGGCATTTCTGGGACACATTAATAGCTAATCTCTGTACCTGTGCAGAGTTTACATTTTCATGATGGACAGGCATCACAGGGCAAAAATTAAAGACCAAAAGAAATTACTAATGTGCTATTCATCTTACATGAAATGCTGACAATCCCTTAAAAATATATGCCATGGTCACTGAGTTTGCACAGTGAAACATTTAACAGCAGGAAATGCAAATGGTCAGCTTTATGGGAATGACAATGGTCAATGCTTGGTCAACTTTAATTTGCCATGACTGGGCATGAACATAAGAATTCAGTGATTAATGACAAGATTAAATGAAATTTCTCATTAATATAATGCAGTATCTTACCCCCATGAGATAGCCTAGACACCCTAATGTCCCCTTTTCCCATTTTGTTGCCAGTATTAAGGTTTAATGAAACTGCTTTTTTCCAGCATTTGCTAATACTGTGTGTCTTTTCTTATCTGATGCTTAGAAGCTCTAGGGATTTTTTTTTACTTCTGATACAAAGTTTGTATTGCACATAGATTCAATCAGGATTACAACTAGTTCTGACAAAAGCAAAGCATTCTGTAAACTTTATCTCAATATTTTAATGCTACATTCCTTTTTGAAAAGAGGTAAGGATTTCCAGTGTCCTTGCAGTAAAAGGACTTACATGAAGGCTACAGGCTCATTGCCTTTCAACTGACGTCACCATGTTACTTCCTGTATCCTGTTTTCTGATCCATTTCAAGACTCATATCAATTGTTGACATGAACTTTGCTGATGAACATGCCCTAAGATGACCATAAACCAATTTATTGAGCAAATTAGAAGGTTATGTCTTGTGTATGAATCTTAATATCCAGATAGCTGCATCACAAAATTAAAAGAGTCAATAGCCTTGTTCTTTCTGTTCCCCTTCCCCCTTCTGATAGGTTTCAGTGGACTATTTCAAGAAAAGGAAAAAGGAACATTATTCACTAGAAAACAGTTATTCAGGTACAGTAATTTGTACTTTATGTCATATTATAATGGTGAGTGTAAATTTTCCTTTGAACCATGTTTTATTAACATTTTTTTCCACAGAGTTACATCAGAAGACTCTATAAATAAGCGATGTGCTCAGCCTGCCAGCTCTTACATGCATACCAATTACCTCTATTGGTTTCAGGACACGTAGTCAGTACTTTAAACAACCCAGATAATATTGCAAACTGAAATATTCAACATCTCCATCATGGTATGCTGTCACCACGCAGAGAAATGATTATAATTGGTAATCACTTCCACTGCTGGTAAGTTGAGTGGCATGATGCATTTTATATCCATGCCTATGTCAAACTCATTTAACATTCTGGCACAGTATATTTCGGAGAGCTAATCTAAGGGAACAACACAATGATTTTTTTGATGTTCAAAATTCTCAATTTCATGAAGAGAAGAAATTGAAGTAAATACACTTATTAATACTGTAGCATTTCCTATGTTTTCTTCCTAAAGAAAGAGGGTACAAAATAGATCACCCATCCCAAATTTCTGGTTCTAGGGGGGGCATGTCAATGACATGAAAAACTGCATAAATAAAAAATTATCAGTATTTTTCATTATACATTGCTATATCAAGGTATGACATTCATTATAATAAAGTGAACTGAAAAAGGCTTAATTCTTAAGAAAAATGTACTGATCTATCACGCTGATTTTCATTGTTTGCTTTTTTTAATAATAATGAGCATTAGAGTGTTTTGTCTAATTCCACATAAATGCATAAACAAAATCATAAAGAGAAGGCTTATATTTCTGTGGAAGAAATCAGGAAGTTGAAGAGGGTAGATAAAAGCTTCAACATTAGGAAACTCACCATCCCTGAAAAATGTTTTCCCCACTCCCACACCTCTCTTACATGTTATGCATTTCTCCTATCACACATAACATCAGTTTTTTATAATGTAGCAGTCTTTGTAGCACAGAATGAAACAGATAAAACACATTCAATATCTTTTAATAACAAACTAACAAAAAGCCCCAACTCCAGCTGCTAGATATTGCACTACTTTTCTAGAGTAGCACTATTCCACCTATGTTTAGCTGTATTATCAGACAGATGGCCACAGCTTGCTGCTTCTGATTGTTGCTGCCCTGACAAAAGAAACATAATTTTGCTGAGATATCTTCCCCACATGGGGTCTTTTTAATACAGTAATTCCATGGTCTTTATCACGTAGGTTATCTGTCGAGTGATCCACAATCTGAAGTTACAGAATCACATGATCACTGAAGTTGGCAGGGACCTGTCAAGGTTGTTTGGTCCAATCCCTCTGTTAGCAGAGTCACATGAAGCAGCACCGAGCTCAGAAAAACTTTGAATATCTCAAAATAAGTGGTAGGATGAAAAAAACACCATAAAAAAGAGAAAAGAGAGAGAAAAAAGTTGCTTATTCATTCCTCCTATAGCAAGTTCATGGGAGAAAAAACGGAAATATTGGAAAACATGAAAACGTAACCTCTCTGCTAAAGCAAAGAGTGATAACTCTGCCATTCAAGAAATAAACAAAATCTGGTTTGATTCTTTTGATAATCAGAACTCACTTGGTGGCAGGTGAGATTGGCTGAAGTTAAAGTAAATGTAACCATATTTTTTCTGATGTATTTGAATAAAATCTTCAGTCTGAAAAACTAGCTTGTAAATCCTGGAGGAGCAAAGATGTCTGACAGTTTTAGCATAGTGAAAACTTTCTCAGCGATAATATTGTACATCTATACAATATTTTGTACATCTATAAGTTACTTCTAATTCACCACAAAATTGTCAAGATAAGAATCCTTCACCAGTTTGTATAATAATGAAAAAATTTGTAGTAGTTTTTGCTAGCAGATTCAGACTGAGTTATCCTAATTGTCTTTTCTGGTCTTCAGAACATGAAGAAATTGTTGACGAAGTAACTGACCTCAGCTTTAAGTGGTGTGAGCGGGACAATTCAAAATAGACTGTAGGAGAATCCTTCCTGAACAGAACTCACAAAATTTGACTGTTGCTGTGTAACAGCCGGGACCTGTGTCCCACCAGGAAAGCCATGGAGGATACGGTCTGCCAAAGCCAGATAGCTATGGCGGGGCTATCACCGAAGATGGGATGTCACTCAGGCTGTAGTTTCCAGAGAGTTTTATTGAGGGATAGAGCAGTTGGAGGTGCAGGGAGATACCCTCTCAGGAAGGGAGCGGGCTCTGAGCGCATGGTCCGGAGGGTGGGGTAAGGTATATAATGGCAACGGGGTCAGAGGGTCGGGGTACAAATCAGCCAATAATGGACCGATACAGGGGAGGAGCGACAGGGTGAGAACCGATTGGAACAGGGGGAAGGGGTGGCTAAGAATTGGGAACCAATAAAAGCATAAAGAACGAGGAACATTCTGGAATAGAGGGATAGCTCAAACCAAATATGGACATGAACAGGGATAAATGATTGGCATCGGGGAAGGTGGGAAAATGATACAGAAGTGGTTTCCCAGGGCATCCCAGGTGGGCTGTCCCTGGGACCCCCTCCCACATTGCTGTCTTTTGATCCTCAAGAATGGAGAAGTGCAACAGAGAATGTTCTAATGAAACCTGACCAAAGACTGACAAGATTGGTTTCTGTGTTACAAAGTCTGGTCCACTGAGAATTTTTGTGAACAGTGAGCAGAAATATAGACTGAACATACATTTTCTTTCAGAAAGAAATAAAGGCATGCTTTGCTATTCCACCATATCATGAAAGATGGATCAGGATGTCAAAAATTCATCCCATTACATCTCAAGAAAAAGATATTATTCTTTTTTTTCTAGTAAGACAAGTATTTTAATTGCTCCCTCTCCCTTCCTCTACAATCTAAAATTCAAAGTTATGCTTTCCTGTTTAGCTCTTCTAGTAGGATAGTGCAGACCTTTTCTGAACAGGGTATAGACTATAATCTTTATGATGGTATACTATTGTCTCTCCTGTTCTTAACCACTGAAGCCTAGATAGAGTCTTCATGTTACATGATGAATTAATGAGAATAATTCTGTACTTATTGGAAGCTGTTCTGAGAAGTTATTGATATAAAGACAATTCATCATTTTCTGGGTACCAACCGTGTCTCTGGTTTGGTGATTTCCCTTACACCATTTACTATGATAATTCCTTTGACAGTATCAGCATTTGGTAACAGGTCAAAATACAGGTATATAAGTCAATCTCTAACTTTACCTCAATAGAAGATTTCAATATTTCAAGATTTTGACATTCAAATGAAATGTCCCATTTCAGTATTCTTAGGAATAAGCTTTAGACCCTTTTTAAAATTCAAAATATACTTTACATGAGCAGTCTGTCTGCAGGCCATGAGGAATAATGTTTGCACTATATCATTGCAAAGAGTTTTTCTCAGTTTTAACTCAGCTGTTCCTGAGAGAGGCAAATCTGATGTCACATCTGACCACTCTATTTCCCTGGAAAACAATATATTCAATATGGCAAGTGTTGTTCTTTAGGCATTGCCGTTTACACAGACGACGTTTCTATTTATCCCAAGACTAATCTTCAACAGCACTCCATGGTATTTTGGCTACAGAGCTGATTAATATAACATATTAATAGCAGGACTCCAGGCAGTGCAGTTTCACTCCTTGACACTGGTTTAGTACATACTGTATATTTACTCAGTGGCAAAATGGTTTGTGCTTTGAATATTTTCCTAGATTAGTTTCGCTTTAACAATTCAAGGATGTTTTATAATTTGTCAGTTCCAGAGAATGTCTGAACACTTTTTCTCTCTCATGAAAATGGTCTTCATCTCAGTAGGAACAGAAAGGGTACAATGTCCAACATTCTGGAATAGACTTCTGTGGTTGCAGTGTACTAAGAGTATCCATGTGGCATATTTGCTTTAGTACAGGAAGTTGAATCCAATATACCATGTGAATCCAACGTACCATGTATTGATTCTGTCAGTAGCCTTATTAAAATACATGGGTGAAGAATAAATATACAAGAAGAGATCCTCAAATCTGACATTATTATTGCTATAATGTTAATTAGGAAAATCTATATCATATCAACCATATATCATACATATATATCGACATATATCATACAACATATATCATATCTATATTAATGTCTGGACAATTTTTATTATTTAAAAGATCCAATGTTGCCTTTTAAGTTGCAGATATTTTTAAATTCAGTGATGTCTGGGAATAATAATATGGAAGATTTTGCTTTTACCAGGAATCAGTCCCTTTCTTGAGATCTTTTTCCCTCTCCCTTATTTTTCTGCAGTCATCAAAATGGGACCGTTTATAGTTCATTCTCATTCATTTCATGGTTTCTATTGTAAATTATATGTCGCATATGTTATATGCATTATCATATAATGACTTAATTTAGTAATGCAGCACTGATTATAAAATAACTGAAGTGCCAAAACATTTCTGCCCATAAATTAAACTTCCTTCTTTCTTAAAAAACAACCTTTGAGATAGTGGCCTCATCTATCAGACTCATCTTTCATTTCTAATTACTTTCTTCATGGTCTGGCTCCTAGAATAGATAGGAAATAATAGTACACATCAAAACAATTGCAGAGAAGGTATCCATAGAACTTTTATGCTAAAATTATTCATGGTTTCTGTGACTATTTGAGATTTTAAGAATTACAAGAACTGACATATTTGAGAATCCTTGTACTTGCATTTCAAAAAGATATGACAAAGACCTGACCTCCTTTGCAAGTAGACTGTGCATATACTTATGCAGTAGACTTTTCTGGTAAAATATTTGTAATAAGCTAATTTCAGTCTGGAAAGCTTTATGAGAATGGTTACATTATGCATACATTTCACAAGATATTTTCTCACAAAAATCCAGGAAAAAAAGAAATAGTATCATACTGTTCCTTAGATAAATCTCAATTACATCATTCTCACACATTTAGAAATTGAAATCATAAATAAGTAATTTGTGATTAATTCAGGAGGTAGACAACTTTTTTTTAAAAAATGTGACATTTAGCTGACAATATATCTGGTATGTAATGCTTTCTTCATAGAAATTTCCTTAGTGTCAGTTGTTCTTCCACACTAATTGTTCTAACTTCTGATACCTGCACTCTTCAGTTTCTACAATTTCTTCTGCGATACTTGTCCTCCACTATTTCTCACCACCTCTGTTTTGTTGCACCTTTTCCTTACAAATCTTCACCCTCCTTCACATGCCACAATCAGTTCCATGTTTGCTTCAGTTCCATCTTTGTCACACAAGTGCTCTGAACTTCACCTGCTTTTTAACTGACTTAACAACACCCACTTCTTAAATGACATCTACAAACAATTATCAGATCAACTATGCCACATTAGCATCTAGTGATGGACAATTTAACTATTTTTTTTAATTAGCATGTAGTTCTGTATATAAATATATGTAGAGCATACGAAACTACATTTTTCTTGTGCTTTATTTAATGACTTCCTTTCTTCATATTCATGATCTAGTTATTCCTTTTAATTTGCTTTTGATTGATGGTAATATTCACATCTGTTTCTACATCTTTGGAACCTAGCTATATCTGCAGCTCATGAGGTAACAACTCAATAAATATTAAAACTATGTTCAAACCATTAGGTACTGTTAGCAACTTTACATGCTTCATGTCAAAATAAAGATGTAAAGACATATACCCTGGCAAAAGATTGCCTGGGGCTATGGCAGCCTCTCCAGAGCATTTTCCTCAAGACTTCCAAGAAACATTGAGAGACGTGATTAATGGCAGATATAAATTTGATAGCATTTGTTGGGGCTGGTTTCATTTGGAAATGAGGGGCATCCCTGCCTTCTGCCATGGAGATCAACAGCCATCCTCCTTGTACTGACTTGGGCTTATATAAAGACTCCCCCTGGGCATACTAATTTCAAAATATCTGTGTGAAATGAGGAGACACAAAGTTGGGTTTTGTTTTCTTGGAAAGCTTTGTTGCGTGGAGGGACCTCAGCTGGGATGGTCCTCAACCACTGTTACAAAAACACCCAGGAAAACAGGTGACACTGGGAAAACACAGAACAGGGATCCCTGTTAAGGAATACAGGTTTCTTGATGTGGGTCAGAATGGGCTCACTCAAGGCTTGTATTCTTAGAGAGACAAGGTTTAAGTGGTGGAGACTACAGCAGTATAGGATGTGTTAGAAGGAACACCCACCCTGATCCATGACTGTCAGCTGCAGAAACACAGGCAGATCCTTAAAAGCTGTATTTAAGAAAGGCCCCAGCTATCAGGACTAAAGATGCACCCTGGGGAGCACATAGTGTGCCTAAGGGAGACAGGAGCCCCTGAGGGACAGCAGCCATAGATACACCTACCAGGACAGGGACAACCCCAAGGGACCGTGACCATGGGAAACTGTATCAGGCCAGGAATACCCCTGAAGAACTCTGGCCAAGAAGGTCCCTGTAACCTGCGAAAACAGGGGGATGTGACCTTTGGGATAGAGGAGTACAGGTGCACAACTGGGTGTGCACCTATGTTAGTGGGTTTTTTGTGTTTGCTTGTGTTTTTGTTTATATGTGCATGTGTATGAATACTTACACCTCTTTTTCTCTCACTTTGACCTGAACCTGACCAGAAGTTAGACAGGAGGCTAGGAGAAATTGCCTAATTTAAGATGCAGTGGTGGCACCAGCCAGATGCAGCCAGCACCCACCAGCAGCCAGCACTGCCTCCACCTTCTGTCCCAAAACTCCTGTGCCTTCTGAACTGCGCTGGTGCCATGGTTCACATGTCATGGGAATAAGAGCCTGAGACAGCAGCATGCACAATGCTTTATGTTTTCTTCTTCTCTAACCACCTTCAGGCCTTTCAGCTTCTTCCATCTTAATATGCCTTTTTTTCCAGTGGAAATTTCAAAATGGGGGCTGAGTGGAGGAGGAGGGGAAAACC